AAGATCAACTTTGACGCTGCTGTTCGGCCTTCTGGGTGCTCGTCTGGTCTAGTAGTGCGAAGTTCAGACGGGCATGTGGCTCTGGCAGTAGGGTTCCTTCACCCCGGTGTTGTTGATCCCTACCTCGCGGAACTCCTTGCTGCTAGAGATGCCATTCTCCTCTTGGTGTCCAAATCTCTTTCTCGGGTCATCGTTGAAGGAGATTCAGAGGTCGTGATTCGTCAGCTTTGTCAAGGTGTTCTCTCAGACTCCATTGGAGGTTCGGTGCTTCGGGATTGCTTCCTTCTCCGGTCTTCCGTCTCTGGTTTCTTAGAGTTTAGGGCAGTTCCTCGGACTGCTAACAGAGCTGCCCATAGAGTGGCGCAGAAAGCTCTGTTACTCTCCCCTTTAGAGTTGTGTACCTTTGACTTTGTAGGTTGGCTTCACTAATGTATTGGGTTGGGCAGGGTTTTGGTAGTTTGTATAGGTTCTCTCTTGACATTTCTTGGAAAAAAAAAAAGAGTAACAATTGTGGGCTTCGGCCCAACAGGATAGCCGGACTTCGAAGGCCTATTACGTGTTACTCCTAACAATGCAAAATTGCAAACATGCAACCATACTTCAATTAGGTCATACATTTTTTTTTCATTCAAGTGGAAAAAATATTAACTAACATGCTAACAACCAAGGTTGTCAACCTGATTTAGCACATCATGCTGGTCAAATAACTGGGCTGAGTTATTAGTTGGATTAGGGTTAACCCAATTCACCAGTTTTTACTAGGGGTGTATATGGATCGGGTTTTGACTACTTTAGTCACCTAACCCATACACCGCGATTTATAGACAATAAAATCCAAACCCACCCATAAAAATCAAAATCCGACAGTTTGGGTCGGTTCGGATTGAAATGTAAACCCAACATCAACTCTAAGCAAAATGATACCTGCTGAATCAACGAACAAAACATCTATATAAATTGGGATAAATTGCAAGTTTGGTCACTAGAATTGCTTAAAAATTTCATGTTTGCCACTAAAATTAAATTATTCCATCCGTAGTCACATAAATTAGTTACAGAGTCCAACTTTGGTCACTCTCCGTTACCTTCCGTCATACTCCGTTATAAGTGCCGTCAGTTAACTGCTGACGTGGCTAACAGAGATGCTTAGTCACTCAATTTAAACAAAAAAAATTAAAAAAATCCATCTGCCACGTCATTACAACCCAGTCGCATAACATACCCAAACCGAACCAAAACCGTGACCCACCCACCCTTCTTCTTCCTCTATTCGTTCCGTCTCTTCCTCATCTTTCACCGGCGGCCGCCACCGCAATTCTCAATCTCCTACAGAATACTCGACACCCTCATTCATCGTCCCCATAGCTCTTTTTCTCTTTCTTTCTCCCAAACAAATCGAAATTGAAAGTCTTAGCTACAACCAAAGTAAGCAAAGCTACTTCCTCCTTCCAACCTCAGCTCCGCCAACGGCACTAGGTCGAACCTCCATCTTATTCCGGCAAGACAAGGAATCAATTTCTTCCGTCGTCGTCGTCGCCAGTTGCCATCTACACCAAATCGATCCATCGAAAGTAGCATAGAAGTAGGCTGGGGTCGTTTCTAGCTTGGGGATCTTGCCCAGCCACAATTTCAATCCCTAGGTCTGGACACAAAATCGAAGAATCGAAGCTTCTCGACAGTCTGTTAGAGGATTCGTCAGCGGAAAGAGGTGGGTGTGTCTTTCCTTAATGCGAGGCCAGAGAAAGGGAACACCCTTGTTCAATACCTCCCTCATCGATGGCCGATTCTCGAGATGGATATGAAATCAGGCCGAGGGTCGATTGATTTTAGGGATTAAGAAAGGAAAAAAAGGGAAAGAGAAGATGCAGAGACGAAGAATATGACAGACGAAATGAAAGAGCAAGATAGTACAACCACAATAGGACCCATTATACATTTAGGGGTCGTTTGGAGGTTGAGATTTGAAGTGAGGTATTTAGCAAATACATGTAATGATAAGATTAAGTCGTTTTTTTGGTTCACTTTGAGTTAGAATGCATGCATTACCTTTTTGTTGGGCCCACCTACAATCACTCAAAATGAATGATTATAAATCTCTACTAAAAGGTGAGATTGTTAATGAGGGATTGTCTACCCTACTTTTTGTTTCATCATTGCTCTTCCAAACAAAGTATTTTCCTAATACATGCATTGAATCAATACATCAAATGATAATACACTAATTGACCTAATACATCAATTTGAAGAATCACAATTTCCAAACGACCCCTTATACTCATACAATAGCTGAGTTCTTCTTCTTCATTTCACAAGCTTAAGGCTATACGACCAGAACTGAGGGATTGAAAACCAGAGAATAGATGGGGCAAATACAGGGAAACAAACAAACTGAAAGAAAAGAAACACCCAAATTGACATCTCTAATAAGCATCCTTGAATGGCTCACGTACATTGATTTGGGGAGAGTTGCACGCCATGGAAACCCCGAAATCCGTCCCTTCCTCTCGAATCCAGCGGACCCGCCTGGGGAATTTTAGAGTCGTGTTGCTTATCAGAACATGGAAGGGGGTTTTACCCGTCAAGAGCTCCAGCAGCTGGACACCACACACAAATCCATCGATTTCCCCCCAAACCATAGATCGAGCTCTACTGCCGCCCAGACCCTCGAGCTACTCCGCCAGCAAGGCCTGCCTGCTCCGCTGCCATCGAAGAAGAAGAAGTAAGCAGAGGGCTTCTTTAACGAGATTCAGAGAAGAAGAAGGGAGACGGTGGTCGGTTCGTAGATCTGAGAGGCCGGGTCAAATAGTTGAAGAAGATGAAGGGGTGGGGTGGGTTTGTTTTGGGTATCTTATGTGGCGGGTTTAATGACGTGGCGGGTCGGGTTTTAATTTTTTCAGTTTAAATAGGGTGATTGGATACTTTTGTTAGCCACGTCAACAAAAAACTGACGGTGTTAACGAAGGCTAACGGAAGGTAACGGAGAGTAACCAAACTTGAACTGTATAGCTAATTTAAGTGACTATGAATGGAATAAATTAATTTCAATGGCAAACGTGACATTTTTTAGTAATTCTAGTGACCAAACTTGCAATTTAGCCATATAAATTGTAAACTTGAATAATGAGCTATTCCTGGGGGTATATACGAAGGTGACGAAGGATAGAAACCAAAATAAAAAGCAATTCTCCCAACTTTGTTTTCAAAGTTGTCCAATTGTCTATATGTCTTATTCCATTTCCAATTAAGAGCAAAAATAGTAACACGTGGAAAGGACTAAGAGAAATATAGTTATAAAAAGTCCAACAAACGAAAATTAAAACAAAAGCCCACATAGTAAAAGCCCACAACTTATACACCGTGCAAATGAGCCGAGTTGAGCCGAGATTTACCCCAGCTTGAGCTTGGCTCGTTAACAATCGAGTCGAACTCGAGCTCGAGCTCCTTTTTAACGAGCCGAGTCGAGTTCGAGCTCAAGCTAGGCTTGTTTACAAAAATCTTTATTCATGTTTGATACATTCATTTTGTATGGTATGTATAATACATACATTTGATAGATGTCATGTTGAAAAAAATAATAGTCAAACGTTCAACATTAACTAATCTCATGTTCTACTCTCTTCGTATCAAACTATTTAGTTAATAAATATTAACTTGTCCAAAACTTGTTATTTTATAGTATCAAATCAATCTATGATACATATTTTCTTTTCATAATTAAAAGACACATTTGCTCACATACTTAACATCTTAAAACCATGGTCCATGAAATCGTACCGTACCGACGTTCAACCACGAAATACCAGTATCGGAGGCTAAATCGGTAGGCGGTATTTAACGGTCTAACGGCTCAACTACGGTAAAACCACGGTTTTATCATAAAATATCATACCGCTGACATTTCTGGTACGATACCCGGTACGGTTTCATGGACCATGCTTAAAACCATATAGGATGAAATATATAGTTTACTAAACCTATGAATTATCAAAATTCAAATCATAAGATGCAGATCGATTCGCTGATAAGTTGGTAGATGGCTTGCCTCTCTAGCCACAATGTTAAGATAACTTATGGGCTCTAAACGAACCAGCTCACGAGTTGAGCTCAACAAGCCATCGAGTCGAGCTAGCTCACAAGCTGAGCAAGGCTTAGCTCAAGCTCGGCTTGTTTGTAAACGAACTGAGTTTTGAACGAGTTTTTCTCGAGCCGAGTCTCGAGCTGCTCGCAAGCAGCTCGACTCATTTGCAGCCCTACCTTGAAATAAACTTACACGCCCTGTACTAAATAATTAGTTTTAGGCGAATGAATAGGTTCTAATTACTCGGGTTTGAACACCCCAAAACCATTCCCTTCACAAAACCATGAAATCCGGGTTGGATGGCATAAGTGGGTCGGTTTGCAGGTGAGTTTTTACACCCTAATTTTTACCCATTTTAAAATACATAAACATTGAATATAGTAATTTGAGATTCCAGAAATTAAGGCCCTGTTCACTTTCATTTTCGTTTTCTGTTTTTTGTTTTCATGTTACAAATTTGGGAAACGAAACGAGAAAACATGTTTACTTTTCATTCTGTTTTCTATTCGTTTCCAACTCGGAAAACATAAATTGGCAAATTCCTACTGTTTTCGAAAACGAAAAAATGTCGTTTTCACCTGTTTTCAACATCTGTTTTCTCAAAAACAGGAAACAGAAATGAAAGTAAACAGGGCCTAAAAATCTAGTTTAATTTAAGGTACCATGCAACAATTAGAGTTGACCCGCAGATCTTTGGAGCCCGTTTTTTCACCAGGTCAGGATTACCATGACCAGAACTCAATTCAACCCCAGCTAAAAAATTCTGGTACACTATGATAGCATTGATTCCAAGTATCAACTCAATCGGTATAAGCGAATGTACAAGACAATCAATCTTTTAAACTTTTCAGATTCTCTGTAATCAACAAAACTGCAAACGCTATCCACCATTCTCCAATTCTCACCTACCCCTTAAAAAATCCTACCTCCTTGTTTTGTGGCCGCCGACGAGCTTCAGCCCCCACGACACATCCTCACACCTCCCCACCGGACCACCCGTCCCCGGCGGATCGGGATAAGCAAACCACGGCGGGAAATGGAAACACGGCTCCAGATTGATCGCCCTCTCACAAGCCGATTCATTAGCACCCCGGGGATGGTACGGATCAGGAATCATCACAATCCATGGCTTCACTCCTGCAATCCCTGCAGCCACATATCCAAAAGTCGACATACTGCTCGTCACCAGCACATCGCTCGTGCTCAACAGATAGATATCCATCCACGCCTTCATGTTGTGCGAGTTATCCCCAGAATGCTGCTTCCCTTCGTGGCTAGCCTGATAAACCGCGATCCCCGTGGACTGCCTTCTCCTCGTCCCGTACATCCAATCGATCTCCTCGTAGTACTTTCGCGACAGCGATGCTACGAGGATCGACTTCGATTTCTCGTTTCGGAGTGTCACCTCGTCGGATTGCGGCAGGATTAATCTGTGTTTCTGGGTGCAGGATGTGATCTGTTTCATGACGGCTGTGAATGGGGTTTGCTTCGGCTCGAAGACTCGAATCTGGAACCCAATTCGCTCCTCTGCTTTGGCTAGGTAAGCTTCGTAGAATCCGGTGATTTGCCCCCAAGCTTGGTTGGATGGGCTGAAGAGGTATTTCACCAAATGGTGGAAGACGGTTTCTTGGTCGGGGAACAATTTCTCCAATTCGGACCTGAACGACTGCATCTGGAAAAGGCAAGGGATGAAATACCCATCGTGGATTAGAACCAGCCACGGGACGCGCTCGACGAACCCTTGATTCTCGTCCTTGAAGAACAGCTTGTCGTACTCGTTGTACTTGTCCTGGAGGAAGATTTGCAGGAGGGCCGGCGATGATGAAGAATCGCCGTCCTGGTCAATTTTGCCCCCTTTGTTCTGCTCCTCTTCCTTCCTCTTCAGCAAGTTCCCGTAGCTGTAACTTGCTCTGAATCTGTGGGTCTGTAACTGAAATAGGAAAGGAAAAGTTTCGGGCAGGTACCAGGTGGAGTTGGGAAACGGCTCGCAGAAGAGATCCTCCATGTCGGGTCCGAAATCGACGAGGAGGACCCGATTCGTGAGCAGAGCGTAGAGGAAGGTTGATGAAAGGCCGAGGATTCGGTTCCCCAGCCCCTGGGAAGGCGAGTAGACGACGAATTTGCAGTCGTCGGTGCGGAATTCACGAGGGTTTAGGGTCGGGTCGATTGATTCCGACAGCGGGCCGCAGCGGCGGTGGAGGCTCTCGTAGTCACGGAGCTTGGCGAGGAGGTAAGGAGACGGCTGCGGGGAAGGGGTTCTGTGGTAATTGTTGGCGGAGTAGCTGCGGTGGACGGCGCGGCTGTCGCAGGTTGGATCGTAGATTCTGGGCCGCCGGGAAGATAAGGCTAATCGCAAGGGAAGGGAGAAGAATGGGCTTTCCGGGTGGAGGAGCGCGGCGGCGAGGAGAAGGGATACGGCGGCGAGGGCGGCCACTAGGATTAGTCGGAACTTGCCGGAAGAGGATGGAGTGAGGAATTCCGTCAGTCGTCTTCCCATCTTCGCCGGTCTTCTCATTCCGTTGACTCTTCTTCGTTGGATCTGAAACTGCGAGGAGGGAGTTGAAGGGTAAGGGTTGAGAAATCAAAGAGGGGAAAAAAAGGGGTTGGCAGTTTGTTCAATGTGCAAGTAGACCAAGTGGGCGACGGAGTAATGGATTTGACTGGTAAATTTTCCAAAGCAGCCTTTTCTTTTTTCGGGGCGGAAAGTACAGCGAAATAGAAAACAAGATATTTATACTAAAAAATGTTTTCTTTTTGGGGGAAAAGTTTAATATTGTTTTGACGTTGTAAATAGGAATGGTAATGGCCACTCGATCGATACCCATATCCGCCCCGTCGCAAGTCGGGTCTAGGTCGGGTAATTTATTATGGGGCGCGGGTCGGGGTAGGTCGATCCAATGGGTATGTAATTTATGTGAAAAACTTTAAAAATATTCAATTGTTTCATTAAAAGATCAAGAAATAAACCATAATATGATAACATGTAGTTAAAGTATTGGAGAAATTGAGGTTTTCACTTATTTACAACTTTATTACAGCTAAAATATGAGATAATATGAGGAAAATTCTAAGCAATTTGACTAAGATTACATGCAATTTAGGCAAGAAAGGGGTCGAGAATGGGGCGGGCCAGAGCAGGTCTGGTCGACGAGAGGTACCCATACTTGATCCGCCCCAAAACAGGTCAAACAGATCGGGTAAAACGGGTCAGGTCGAAATTGTCATCTCTAATTTATAAAGAGGAAAGTCGAAACATTCGCAATTTGTCCTTTAATTTTTGTCCGCTTATTTATTAATAAATGGTGTTTTCTATTCCATGGAAGGATAAGTTCGGGCAATGGACTGGGAGGTAGTTTTTTTGGTGGAAGAACATTGTTTTGCGTCACAAATCACAATGGCAGACAGTTGGCCGATGTCCACGGGTGGGAGGTTCAAGGGGTATCTGTCGAAGTAATCAATGTTGGACGACCCTGCCGTCTACATACATTTATTTTTTAATAGGTAAAATATAATCAAAATTTTTATGTTTGTGTCAATAATAGTCAAATTTAGAAAAATACTACTTAAGACCATCTACATCCATGAAATAGCAATTCTATTTCATATGTGGTCCCTATTGCCACATTAATAGGAATGGCAATGGAGCAGTTCCGGGGCGGGTATCTTGATACCCATACCCGCCCCATGGCAGGTCGGGTTCAGGTCGGGTAATTTATCACGGGGCGCGGGTCGGGGCAGGTCGACCCATTGGGTATGTAATTTATGTGAAAAATATTAGAAATATTCGTTCTTTTCATTGAAAAACCAAGAATGAAACCATTTTTTCATTGAAAGACCAAGAAAGAAACCATAATATGATAAAATGTAGTTAAATTATTGAAGAAATTGAGGTTTTTACTTATTTACAACTTTATTATAGCTAAAATATAATGTAATAAAAGGAAAATCTTAAGTAATTTGACTAAGATTATATGTAATTTAGGCAAGAACGGGTCGAGAATGGGGCGGGTCAGGGCAGGTCAGGTCGATGAGAGGTACCCATGCCCGCCCCGCCCCGCCTACGGGGCGGGTTTGACCCGCCCCAAAACAGGTCAAACAGGTCGGGTAAATCGGGTCAGGTCGAAATTGTCATCCCTACACATTAACCACTTTTTTCATTTCACTACAAATCACTTTCATTTCCTCTACATCAATGAAATCCATTATATATTTCATAGTGGGCCCACAAAACAAAAATACACTCTCTCACAACTCACAAAATATAATAGAAATGAAAAAAAAATAGCATAAACGTGGGTGGAGCCCACTCTTGTATGTGAGAACTGAAGAAGGGAAGAAAGTGATGAAGAAGGGATAATAGTAATGAGAATGAGAGTAAAGAGTTGCATGGAGCAGTATAAGCAGGGGAATGTTAAATGAATGAGTGTTGTGTGTCAGCTAGGCTATTTTTGTGGGTTTGGCTAGGGCTGCAAATGAGTCGAGTCGAGTTTTTGCTAAGTTTGAGGTCGGTTCGTTTATAAAATTTTCAACTCGAGCTTAACTCGAACTCAAATTTTGATAGTACAGCTCGAGTTCGAGCTCGATTCGATTAAAAATAATCCAACTCGAGCTCGACTCAGTGAAGCTCGGTAAATGCTTATTAACACAACTTGTCAAGCCGAGTTAAAGCTTGGCTAAAGATAAACTCAATTTTTTTTTTTGACAAAAGATAGTCATTATATTGATCAGAAAAAAGATAATTACATCATGGAATTTAACCAGGCCATAAAATCAAAGAAATGACTCGTAGTCGGGTACAAATGAATGGTCTTTTGAGCCACCAAATGGGCTACCCTATTACTATGACGACCTACAAATCACACACTAAGCCCACCATGAAGCACAAAATAATGCAGAACCTCAAGAAGGGCACCAATTTGACTATCTCTAGTATCAGCTCGATTAAGTTTATCAATGACCATCTTGGCGTCACCTTCAAATCTTACATTCGTGAACCCATTAGCCAGGCACCAGAGAATAGCCTCCCAGAGGGGAGCATCTTAGAGACCATAAGATCATCAGTCCCCACAAACTGAACCCCAGAAGCCAAGAGGACCTCCCCATCATGGCTCAAGATTATCAATCATCCCTCCAGTCGAATGTGACTCATTCTTAGTAGCACCATCCCATCTGCAAACAACTAAGCTCGGGTGGGTTGTCCCCACCACTTGTACTAGTTAGACAGGAGCCTGAGGAGCACTATCAACTCGCAAATTGACCCATTCATGGTATTGGAATCATAATTGCTAAAAAATGAATACACATAAAAATTTAAATGATAAAATGATCACTATAAAGTAAAAAGAACAACTAACTTTCATACACATTCGTATTAACAAGATAATATTCATGTTCAAAAGAGTAATTAATTCTTCCACAATCTCTAAACAAGCCAGCACGCAGGCTTACCGAATCAAGCTAGGTCACAAGCTTATCAAGCTGAGCTTGATCTAGCTCAAGTTTGGCTCGTTTATTAACGAATCGGCTTGTTAAAACTAGCCAATTGCCGAACGAGTTTTTTCCGATTCGAACACCGAATTTCTCACGAGCGACTTGACTCATTTGCAGCCTTAGTTTTGGCTAATACTATGTTGCCTCATTAGAAGGCAATATTCTTATGCGACCTCTTACTAAAGTGACATATATACAAATTCAAATCCTGCCCTATCTATAACAATATGCGATGAAAGCGAGAGGGTCACGTCTTCAAAATTTCGTTGTAGTAAAAAGTGACATAGGTATGTCACCTGCCTAGGAGGTGAAACAGTGTTCATCGCTTGTCTTGCATGCAATATTTTTCTTCCCCCGCCCGGTCAGCAAAATACCGTTGTTTTGGGAGATATCTCTGAAGTGTCGCATTTTGAATTTTTTAACATTTTCTTTTGGAAAATATCAAAATAATATACCTGTTCCGAATTGTTGAATTTCAATCATTACAAGTTATTTATTTATTTAATATGTGAAAATCAAAGATGTGAGTTACTATTCATTAGTCGCTCTCAAACTCCTCCAAATACAAGTGGACAACTTTTATGTTGTTTGTTTTCCTTCAGTCAAATATCCTTCTCTTAAACTCCACAATGTTTGAGGACTTTCTTTTTACTTCACTCTCCCATTCCGGGACTTCTGTGTTAAGCTATTGTGCGTTGAGTCTACATCTATTATCCTCTGAGTTTTTCATCGCAGTTATTGTCCACTAGGTTTTCAGCAATTGTTCACTGGTTTCTCGGTGACAGTTATTATCCACTAAGTTTTCATCTATTGCCTGCTGATTTGCCCATCAATTCATAGTCCATCTCAAAACACTGTCGACAATTTCACTTTTCAAATCCTACTTCCTTCATTAAACTAATCAAGGTCATCCACCCTTTCACTTTTCAGTCAGAATTCAAACTATTACTCTCCGAAGTATCATGTTCTCTCGCTAACGCGAAGCGATAATGAACGGGATTATGCTAATAATTATATAAGCGGAACAAATTAGTCATGTCAAATTGTATTGGAGCAACTCTATTGTACAGTAAAAGAAGGAAGAAAAAAATGCACCTCCAGTACAATTCTAACTAAATTGGTATACATTAATGTATCATAATGTCTTCAACTGAAGTTTTCTATGCCTATAATCAACAAAATTACGACTATACTCGAATCCCACGTCAAAGGGGCAAAAGAAACAGAACAAAAGACTATGTATAGCGTCTCCTCCTTAGTCCTTACTATAACTCTGTTTTATTCAGTCCATCTACAAGCTTGAGCCCCCAAGGCACATCTTCACACCGATTCACAAGTCCAGCACCGCCGCTCGCCGTCCCCTGCTCATCAGGATAAGCAAACCACGGCGGGAAATGGAAACACGGCTCCACATTAACCGCCCTTTCACAAACCGCCGCCCATCCAGGAACATCAGGATGGTCCTTCGGATCAGGAAACGTCACAATCCACGGCCTCACCCCGCCGATCCCCGCCGCCACATACCCGAACGTCGACATTCCGCTAGTCACCAACACATCGCTCATGCTCAGCAGATACATGTCCGCCCACGCCTTCATGTTGTGCGAGCTCTTGTAAGACTGCTGTGTCTCCTCGTGGCTCGCCTGGTAAACTCCAATTTCACCACCACCACTACGACCACCGTACCTGTTCTTGATTCCTTCGTAGAATTCGCTCGACAGCGACGCTACGAGCACAGCTTTTGATGTCTCGTTGGATTGTCGAGATCGAGGCAGGATTCTTCGTGTTTCAGTGCAGGAGAGTATCTGTTTCATGACGACTGGAGTCGGGGTTGCTTGAGGGTCGAAAACCCTGATCTGGATTCCGATTCTCTGCTCTGCTTTCGCCAGGTGGGCGTCGTAGAATTTGGTGATGAGCGACCAGGCTTGATTGGAAGGGGCGAGTAGGTAATTCCCCAATTGGTGGAAGACGGTGGACTTGTTGTTGGGGAACAATTTCTCCAGTTCTGACCTGAAAGTCTGCATCTGGAACAGGCAGGGGATGAAATACCCATCCGAAATCAGAACCAGCCATGGGATTTTCTCGAGAAACCCTTGATTCTCGTCTTTGAAGAAGAGCTTGTCGTATTCGCTGTACTTATCGTCGAGGAAGATCTGCAGGAGGGTTGAATTCCACGGCGACGATGACGAGGGCGACGGCGAAGAGGAAGAAGAAGAGTCGGACGCAGTCTTTTCTTTCTTCTCCAGCAATTTCCCGTAGCTGTAGACGTCCCTGAACCAGCCGCCGTAGAAATCAGACCTGAAGGGGAAGTTTCCGGGCAGGAGCCAGGTCGAATTGGGGAACGGCTCGCAGAAGAGTTCGTCCATGTCAGCGCTGAAATCGACGAGAAGGACCCGATCCGTGAGCAGAGCGAAGAGGAAAGTCGAAGTGAGACCCAGGATCCGGTTCCCCAGCCCCTGCGAAGGCGTGTAGACGACGAATTTGCAGTCGCCTCCGTCGGAGAAATCGTTGTGGGTTCCGAGGGGTGAAGTTGTGTTGAACGATTCAGAGAGCGGGCCGCAGCGGCGGTGGCGGCGTTCGTATTCTTGGAGCTTGGAGAGTAGATAGGGAGGCAGTTCAGGGGATCGGTGCTTGAGGTAAGAGCTCCTCTGTTCCCGGCTTTCGCAGGTTTGTTCCGGTGGTTTAGTGCCCGAAAGGGCGAATTTCAGGGGAAGGTAAGAAATTGGGGAGCAAACGGTGGCGATGAGAACAAGAGATAAAACGATGAAAGCGGCCGCCGCCGTGACTGTGAATTTGTTGGAAGAGCTGCCGGTGATGAATTCGGGAAGTCGTCTTCCAAATCCCATCTTGGTGCCTCCCCATCCTCCTCCTCCTCCCACTTTTCTTTTCATGGCTGCAGCTATTGGAATTGAATTTTTTTAATTGGGGGAATTGACTGTACTAGGGTTTGTACTAATACTGGCGTCGTTAGCGTTCAACTCTGGTTGTATCGTGAATTAAAATCTGGGAAGGTGCCCTTTCTTGAGCCATTATGGAAATCGAAGGCTACTTGGAAAAGTAAAATGAGATTATTGACTTTTCTTCCTAGCTAGCTATAGACTATAGTAATTCTGATAAACGTCCTCGTCAAACCCAAAATAAATAATTCAACAACTTGCTTTTTCTTCTTACACATTCCATAGAAGTTAGAAGGAAAAACTGGGGGCCGGCTGTGTTTGTGGCGGAGGAGAAAACAGCAGGAAAGCGCGTCACAGTGGCGGTTGAAGACTAGATTCGTATAAGACAATTTTTTTTCCCCAATAAATAACTTGTATTATAAAAAAAAATATAATGTTTACAGCACAGAAATCGCCCATAAGCGAAAATCAAACCCTGAAATACTGATAGGACACAAGGAAAGGTAGACCTGGCAATCGGGTCGGGTAATTTCGGGTTGGAAACTTCGGTTACGGGTTTGATCATGTTTGGTTGGCTTATTTCGGATTAAATATTGACCCAACCCATTCAGTTTCGGGTCGGATTACAGGTCATTTCAGGTTATGAGCGTTCTCAGAAACAATATCAAACATGCTTCATATTTTCTTAAAGAACACAAATTTTCACATGCATGACAATTGTTTACCTAACACATGTCCATTAACATATTCTCAAATCCTCCCATGCTAATGAAATGAAATATAAATTGCGCAAATCGTCAAAAAACAATCACAAGAGTAATTCTACTACAAGAAACACATGATATTTGATTATCCTTAAACTCCAAACATGTCATTCAAATCATTGTGATTTTTTTTTTAAACATCTCACCAATTTATGAGTGATTTTATCATATTTTGGGAGCAATATATTAACTCGAACGGGTCTAACGGGTCGACCCGCTAACCCACCCAACCCGACCCAAAAAATCACGGGTTATCAGGTTCGGGTCATTCGGATTTCGGGTTACAAAAATTTCTAGTTTTCGGGCGGTTTCGGATCGGGTCAACGGGTCAGGTTGTAATTTGCCAGGTCTAAGGAAAGGACTTTCTTAGCCACCAAATGGGCCACCTGATTGCTACGCCTACCTATATACCGGATTGCGAAACCAGAGAGCTGTCGTTTCCAACCATTAATCTCCTGCAGAATTGCACCACCTCTAGCATCCATCATATCACCACGATCAATCTGATTCACAACGACCTGTGCATCCCTAAGGAATTCTATACCCTGAACATCATGCATTGCAGACCAACGAATAGCATCCCTAAACGCTAGAGGCTCCACCAAGTAAGGATCCACCATACCCTCATACCGAAACCCAAACGCGAACACAATGGCACCTGTACTATCCACTATCACCACTCCAGCCGCACCATGAGATTCGGCGCACACAGCACCATCAATAAAACACCAAAAATGAGAGGGAGGCAAGAGCGGCGCGTCGAGCAGCTGGGCAGGAGGATTGCGAGCTGGAGCCCCATCGTTCACACTTCTCCATTCCTGAACCTGTACAGTGAATTGGAGCAAAAGGACTGGGGTTGTGTAAAGAATACCATCAAAAGCGGCCCAATTACGGGACTTCCAAACCCGCCAAAGGAGTGAAACAAAGGCCATGATAAGGTCCGGATCAGCATTTTGCTCAAACCATCGACGCAGAAACATGGCGATGTTAAACTCCGGAATACCGACCCTTGATGGCATTAACCCCGATGCTTCCCACAGTTCTCGAGCCACGCTATAGTGGAGGAACAAGTGCTCAACGGATTCACATTCAAAGCAGCATACCGGACACTCTAAGGGAACATCACATCCCTTCTCACGCAGCGCCTCCATCGTCGGCAACACTCGACGTATAATTTGCCACAGGAAAACCTTGAGCTTCGGAGGTATATGGAAGCCCCAAACCCTTTTCCAGAATGCCGCATCAAACCATGACACCTCTTCTTTCCAACCACTTCCTGAGCGACTAACCCGAACACCCAAATGGTACCCCGACTTAACGGTGTATTCCCCAGAAGGATCTTCCCCCCATATCAGCCTGTCAGGCGCAGCATCACGGGGTAACGGAATCCCCAGAACTCGTTGTACAATATTGGGGGGAAAGCACTGGTCGAGGCAATCCCGACACCACTTACCTCGCTCCTCATTAATCAAAATATCCACAGTCTGGTCCGGTTGAAGCAACGTATAAGGCAAAATATCAAAGGAATCAAATAGGATGAGGGATATCCTACCATTACAAAAAGCTTGGTCTTTCGAAATGGGCGTCCATAGTTTCATTGAAGTGAAGTCTTTCGAGTCCTCGTATTGATGGATGACTTTTCTTTATTCGCTTTTTCAGCATTCAATCTTGGGAATCAGGATACAATAGAAAAGGCTTAATTACAAGTTTGGTCACTCGAATTGCTACAAAATTTCACGGCTAAAGTACACGTTTGATCACTCAAATTGTATAAATCTTTCATGTATGTCATTCGAATTACTTTTCTTTCTTATTCGCCACTAATTTTACGAATCGTTTCACCATTAGTCACCGGCCGTTACACTCCGTTAAATATGTCATATGTGGCAGTCAACTGTAAAGTTTGACTGTTAACTAGATAACGTGAAAATGTAAAAAAATTATTAATTTTTTCCACCTCATCATTCCACTTACTTTAACTCATCATATTAATTATTTAATAAAAATTAATTGAATTCAAAAAAAAAATTATCCAATTTTTCCTTGGGGAAGAGGGAGAGCGGGAGGCAAGCAGATTCTCTAATGTGGATTTGGGGAAGGAGAGGGGAAAGGAAATGGAAGAAATTGCAGTTGAGCTGAAGAGGTTTGGAGACGAGAGCAGTCTATTAGATCAGTTCGAGAGGCCGTCGTTTGAGGTGCAGCTTAACCAAGCGATATTGGCCCCCAGCCAGTCGGAGCGCGGAGTCGGACCTGGGGTCGGAACGGATCGCTCCAGGCTCCGAACTCCTTTGAATCGGAAAGAGCAGAGAGCTGCAACAGTTGGGCTGACGAAGGTGAAACATGGGCAGATCCCGGGCAGGAGCGGCGGTGCCGTGGGTCTCTAGAGAATCCGCTCGCCTCCGACTTTCCCTCTTCCCTAAGGAAAAATTGGATAATTCATTTTTTTAATTCATTTAATTTATATTAAATAATTAATATGATGAATCAAAGTAAGTGGAATGATAAGGTGGAAAAATAAATAAATTTTTTATTTTTTTTAATTTCCACGTCATCTAGTTAACGGTCAACCTTTATAGTTGACTACCACGTAGGACATATTTAACGGAATGTAACAGCAGTGACTAATGGTGAAACGATTCGTAAAGTTAGTGGCGAATAAGAAAGAAAAGTAATTCGAGTGATAAACGTGAAAGATTTGTATAATTTAAGTGACCAAACGTGTAATTTAGCCAAAATTTCATGTTTGCCACTCAAATTAATTTATTCCATTTATAGTCACTTAAATTAGTTGAACAGTCCAAGTTCGGTCACTCTCCGTTAACCTCCGTTAGACTCCGTTAACGATGTCCGTTAAGTGATGACGTGGCTAACAGAAAATCACAGTCATCATATTTTAACACTAAAAAACGATGATCCGACCCACCACGTTATATTTACCCGCCATGTCCGCCCTACCTGCCCAACCCGCAAACCAACCCAATAATTGACCCAACCCCAAACCCGACCCCCTGAATCTAAAAAGTAAATTGAATCATGAAAGGGTAGGGCACTTTCCATTCTCCATCGTCCTCTCATCCTCCAGCGTCTCTCCTCACCCATCTGTTCGAAAATCCAATCGCCAAAGAAGGAGGGATGAAGGTCGTTGTTTCCGATGAAATCAAGGATCTCTGTGAGTGAATCGAGGCGGTTGCCAAGCTCGCTGATCTGGGCACAAAGGACGTAGTTCTCCGTCTGGACGTTGAGAAAGTGTTGGGTGGTGACGTTGATGGTGGTCAAGATCTGGCTATTGTCCTTCCTCAGCTGGGTGACCTGCCCCACCAGCTCGTCGAGATGCTTCTGCTTCCTCATCCGCGACCGCCGGTCCGATTCTCGTTTCGACAACATTCTCTTCCTCTTCCTCTCGTCCATCACCAGCTGCTGCAGGTCCTCATCGGAGCAGGAGTTCTGAAGCAGGGACGATGAAACGCCGAAGGAGGAATTCCCACTGGAAGACGCCATTGACAGGGAAAACAACCCCCCAAGTACAATCGACTGCAAATTTATCTACAATTGGAAGAAGAAAGAAACAAATACTAATTCTAATCTCTCATATGAGAGATTAGAATTAGTATTTGTTTCTTTCTTCTTCCAATTGTAGATAAATTTGCAGTCGATTGTACTTGGGGGGTTGTTTTCCCTGTCAATGGCGTCTTCCAGTGGGAATTCCTCCTTCGGCGTTTCATCGTCCCTGCTTCAGAACTCCTGCTCCGATGAGGACCTGCAGCAGCTGGTGATGGACGAGAGGAAGAGGAAGAGAATGTTGTCGAAACGAGAATCGGACCGGCGGTCGCGGATGAGGAAGCAGAAGCATCTCGACGAGCTGGTGGGGCAGGTCACCCAGCTGAGGAAGGACAATAGCCAGATCTTGACCACCATCAACGTCACCACCCAACACTTTCTCAACGTCCAGACGGAGAACTACGTCCTTTGTGCCCAGATCAGCGAGCTTGGCAACCGCCTCGATTCACTCACAGAGATCCTTGATTTCATCGGAAACAACGACCTTCATCCCTCCTTCTTTGGCGATTGGATTTTCGAACAGATGGGTGAGGAGAGACGCGGGAGGATGAGAGGACGATGGAGAATGGAAAGTGCCCTACCCTTTCCTGTTTCGATTTTACTTTTCATATTCGGGGGGTCGGGTTTGGGGTTGGGTCAATTATTGGGTTGGTTTGCGGGTTGGGCAGGTAGGGCGGACATGGCGGGTAAATATAACGTGGTGGGTCGGATCATCGTTTTTTAGTGTTAAAATATGATGACTTTGATATTCTGTTAGCCACGTCATCACTTAACGGTCGTCATTAACGAAGGTTAACGGAGAGTGACCGAACTTGGACTGTTCAACTAATTTAAGTGACTATGAATGGAATAAATTAATTTGAGTGGCAAACGTGAAATTTTGTAGCAATTTGAGTGACCAAACTTGCAATTAAGCCGATAGAAAAACAACACATATGGTATTGTTGTTGTAACAACACTATTTAGTATTGGTATTTGGTCGGTAGCTCGTAACCGATTAATCGGTTAATAGCAGTGTTATCAAAGCCGAGTCGAGCTGGCTGATCGGATCGGTAAAACCGACACCCGGCCATTAAACTGGCTCGACAAAGCTATTTAGCCGGAATGAATTTTTGTGGCGGTCGGCGAGCAGCCGAGGTGATTAACCGCTTGGGCCGCTCGAGTCGAACACCCGGCGTTTCCGTTTTGGCCGGTTGGTTAAAAAAAGAATTTGAAAACTGAAAGGAAAGGGAAGGAAAGGGGGAATATGTCGGGCTGTCAATTCCTCGGTCGAGTAGCGCGGGTGAAGTAGACGTGGCCCAAGTCGGTGAGCGGCGGTGTGGTGGTGGTAGCGGCAGAGCTTTTGTGTCGTTACCTGTCGGAGATGTGCCAGAGAGAGGCGATGAGGTTGCCTCTGCGACTGCCTAGGGTAGAATACAATGGGCGGGTGGCAAGTGGGTGTAGGATTTTTTAGAAGAAGAATCAAATAAAAAAGAAGAAGATAGAATAAGAAGAAGAAGAAGGAAAAAGAAAAGAATCGAGAGTTTGAGAGATGGGGTGAGCGGCGACGTTGTTGCTTAGGGTTTGTGGGGGTTGAGTAGGGTTATTAATATATACAATGTAATATTATTATGTGGTATCTGGTAAATTTTATTTTAGTCATTAAATTATTAAATTACTACCTTTTGTGTCTTCTACTTGTGATATTATTGTTTATAAGTTATCGGTTCTCTAACGGTTTTTAAATGGCCCAATATTGGTTGAACCATTAAAGTGCGAGTCGTTCATCATATCGGGTCATGCTTCAGTTCGGTTCTGACAACATTAGTTAATAGTATACCAAAATTCGGTGGAGATACCAACTATCGAACTAGTTTTCCTGTTGGTTAATCGGCTCATCGGTTAGATGGTTAATGGTTAGAAAATCGATTATCCGAGTACTTGTGTGCGAAAGGGAGGGGAAATGAATCGGCTCTTTTGCTGCTCTCCTCTGCTACATAGATAGGAAGGAGCAACTTGTGAATTCCACTGCTCGAGCTTCCTGAATTGTTAAAAGTTAACACAAACAATTTCAACCATTGCAATTTCAATTCAAACCCTAAACAAAAGTCGGATAACACAAACAAATAAACAATTAATTCAATTTAAAGCTTGCCCTCACCTAAACTCGGCATTTTACAACGGCGCCAGCGACAATCAACTACAGAGAAGCTCCAAAGGGCAACAATATCGAGTTGGAAGTTGGAACGCCTCGCCAAGCCATCGCGACGACTACGATGAAGATGCAAGGGTTTAGGGAAGAAGAAGGAGCCGAGTTGTGGGAATCGGCGGATAGCCTTTCTCCATTTTCATAGATCAGTTTATATAAAACAACTTAATTACAGAAAGAGTAAAGTTATTGTACGTTAACGGCTAATTCAAACTAACTATAAAAAACTGACCTATACAGAAGCGCCAAGTGGCAAACTAAGACTAATGACAACAATCAAAAGCTTGTAAGAAACAGTGTCGTTGGTCTCTTATTTATGTGCCGAGTTCCTGAACCGAGTCGAGTGAAAGGAAGCCGGACTCGGTTGACCAGTCTCTACATCCTGTAACAGCTGCAGGGTCTCTGGTTGTTCATCAATGGTGATCCTCACTGCAGCTGTGCTTCATACTCCTCCTCAAGCTGGTCAAGTACTGTCAAGTACTGCCAGCTTGCTTAACAGAAGTAGGGGTTTAAGCCATTGCACCTCACATGATAACTGAGCAAGGGCTCTGTACTCAGCTTCTGAAGATGATCTTGAGACAGTCCCTTGCTTCTTGATCTTCCAAGTTATAAGAGAACTATCCAAAAAGGTACAATAACCTGTAATGGATTTCCTAGAGTCAAGACAGGTTGCCCAATCTAAATCACTAAAACCACTTAATTGCAGACTTGTGTTTGAAGAAAACCATAAGCCTTGGCCTGGACACCCCTTAAGATACCTCAAGATTCTGTGCAATGCCTCCAAATGAACTGTGGTTGGATAATCCTGGAACTAGCATAACTGCTGGACAGGAAAGCAAATATCTGGTCTTGTGGATGTTAAATACTGGAGTTGTCCAAGGATGTGTCTAAAACCTATAGCATCATCTAGCAAAGTCCCATCAGAAGCAGATAAAAAAGTTTTCATATTGATAGGGGTCTTTGTTGTTTTACACTCAAGGAAATCAGCATGTTCAATCATTTCCAAACAAAACTTCCTTTGACACAAGGAAATCCCTTCTGATGTTCTGGCAATCTCCAAACCTAGAAAGTACTTCAAATTACCTAAATCCTTCACCTTGAATCCAAATTGAAGTTGCCTTTTCAATGCTTCAATGTCTTCTAAACATGGACCAACAAGGACGATATCATCAACATATACCACCAAAATGACAGTAGCACTCTTAAACACATAATATTCTTCATAAGATTGTGTAAAATCCATATGAAAAGGAATTAAGTGAGCTTAATGTACCACTGCCTGCTGGTCTGTTTCAACCCATATAGGGATTTCTTCAATTTACACACCTTACCCTGCATGTGACTTAGTTCTCTCAATCCAGGAGGAAGCTCCATATATATCTCCTCCTCTAAGTCACCATGTAGGAAGGAATTACTGACGTTCATCTGATCCAAATGCCAGGAATGAATAGAAGCAACTGCCATAAGAAGCTTGAAAGAAGCCATCTTAGCAACAGGTGAGAAGTTATCTACATAGTCATGGCCAAAAATTTGGGTGTACTCTTTTTCTACCACTCTAGCTTTGAAATTATCAATGTGTCCATCTATGTCCCAGGTCTGATTATCATCAAGTGCTTGAACTTCCTCAGTCATTGCCTTCTGCCAATAAGCATGAGGAGCAGCTTGATGGTATGTTTGAGGGTCAGGAGCAAGGGATAGAGATAATGCAAAGGATCTGTGACCTAGAGATAGGTTGGAATAAGTGATGGTTTTGGAAACAGGGTAAAGAAGTTGTGCATCAAAGCTGCTATTGGTAAGAAAGTAAGTGTGAAAGTCACCAAGGTGAGCTGGCTTCCTAATGGTATGAGTTTGTTTCCTCAAAGCAATGGGTAGAGACCCTGGGGAATGAGAACCAGAAGAGGAACTAGCTTGTGGTGGAGGAGAAAAGGAATAAGAGGAAGAATTTGAACCAGAAGGAAAATGAGGGGTATAATCTGGATCAGTGGTTTCACGTATATTATGATCGGAAGGAAATAAAGGTGAATGGTCATTTGTGTAAACAATGGATGAATGGTTATGAGAAGGATCAATAGGAGAAGTAGGAGAGCAAATGGGAGTTGTGTGAGAAAGAAAAGGAAAAACAATTTCATTAAACTGTACATCTCTACTAGTGAAAACCTGATGTCCCTCAACATCATAAAGTTTAAATCCTTTGACTCCATAAGTGTACCCCAGAAAACTACCTTCATTGCGTTGGGAGAGAATTTTGGTTTATGAGGGTCAACAATAGTTACAAAGGCAAGACATCCAAACACTCCGAGGCTGCTATAGTCAGGTGGAATGCCATACAAGCATTCAAATGGGGATTTGTTCTCTAAAACAGGTGTAGGGATGCTATTTATCAGGTAAGCAGCATGCATAATCAAGTGACTCCAGAAGCTAGTAGGTAACCTTGATGGAAACTTGAGGGACCTAGCTTCATTCAGCAAGTGCTGATGCTTCCTTCTCTTGGTCCTTGCTGCTTGTCTTAGCGGATATGTAATCTTCCATGGCGATGCTTCAGGGTAGCTTAGCAGAAAGCCAAGAAGAAGAAAGGAGAGCAAGGTTGTGAAGAAATCTGACTGGTATGAGCCAACCAGACTCTGATACCATGAGAAAGTCTATAACCTAGCAATGAAGATGCTAGGGTTTAGGGAAGAAGAAGGAGTCGAGATTGTGGGAATCGACAGATCGCCTTTCTCCATTTTCATAGATCAGTTTATATATAGCAGCT